AAAAAGAATAAAGTTTTAATAATTCATAGGGAAGCAATGAGTATTTCCCATTTATTTATGCATATTTATCACTTGGCTTGAATGATAAACATATTAATTCCTGCCTACCAGTTAATGACTTTGGGTAATGTTTGTACTCTCTTTATGCAGAAATTGGCCATATAACTCACAGCTACTTATAGGAATAGACTTAATCAGCTCCATTTTCATAACCCTGAAATACATTTTGTCTTACTCCAAGTAGTTTTTGTAAGGCATTTTTAAAGCATTCTTTATTTTTCTTGCTGTTAAATCCTTACATTTACCTCCTCAACAGATAATGGGTATTCTTCAGCCATAGCAATACAAAGTACTTATTGTTTTCAAGACTTGTTTTTGCCAGATGTCAGGAGTGGGTTGAATGCTGTAGACTCTGTTGGTTTATTTTGCTGTTCTGATTTAAAATGTTATGCCCCAAAAAGGAGATCTGATGGTGTTAAATGTATGGACATTATATCAGGAAAACTACTTTCAAAATGATGAAGTATGGAGACAGGCTGAGAAAGTTGGGGCTGTTCAGACTGGAGAAGAGAAGGCTGCGTGGAGACCTCATAGCAGCCTTCCAGTATCTGAAGGGGGCTATAGGGATGCTGGGGAGGGACTCTTCATTAGGGACTGTAGTGATAGGACAAGGGGTAATGGGTTAAAACTGAAACAGGGGAAGTTTAGATTGGATATAAGGAGGAAATTCTTTCCTGTGAGGGTGGTGATGCACTGGAATGGGTTGCCCAGGGAGGTTGTGAATGCTCCATCCCTGGCAGTGTTCAAGGCCAGGTTGGACGGAGCCTTGGGTGAGATGGTTTAGAGCGAGGTGTCCCTGCCCATGGCAGGGGGGTTGGAACTGGATATCTTAAAGTGCTTTCCAACCCTAATGCTTCTATGATTCTATGAATAGCCACTAAAGGTGGCAGTGGAGGCAGTGCTGCTGAATTCAGTTCATTCTATATAGTTTTCCTGTAGCCTGTGCACCGGTTTGGGTTTTGCTTACTCTTTGTTAATGTTTTTTCAGGTTAGATCTTAGGCAGAAGCTCTTCCCTGTGAGGGTGCTGAGGCGCTGGCACAGGGTGCCCAGAGAAGCTGTGGCTGCCCCATCCCTGGCAGTGCTCAAGGCCAGGTTGGACACAGGGGCTTGGAGCAAGCTGCTCCAGTGGAAGGGGTCCCTGCCTGTGGTAGGGGCTGGAACCATATGAACTTTAAGGTACCTTCCAACACAAACCATTCCAGGATTCTGTGATTTCTTATCTATTTTGAGTACATATCAGAGCTGCTGCTTTGCCTCAGTGGTGCTTGTTTGAACGTACTTCATGTTGGTGGAGAAGCCCAGGACTGAGATATGGGAAACCCTTGGATGAGTTCGGGCATGGAGCTTAACATCATAAAATGTAAAAGAAGTTCTGCTTCATCCTGTTGCTACTGCTCTGCTGGCAGTTTGGGTGAGAAAAGGAGGTGGGAGTGTTCATCATAGGATATTCTTGTACATTCACCTGGGGTAGCATTGGAAGGATTCCATGGTAAGAGCTGAGCTCCATGGGGCAAACCAGCCCCTTCCCACTGCCTTCCCCTTCCTGGGCTGGCAATCCTGTGCTTCTTCCTCTGCTGCCACAGCAGCCAGAGAGGTGGGTTTTTAGTTTGGACCATTTGAAATCACTGATTTTAATGTTTTGGGTTTAATTTTACTTGTTTTCACAGCAAGAGATGAAGTCTCAGGTGTGGATATGTCATTTAAAAGGTCTCTCAGCTTAAGCTGCTTTTGATAACCACATGCATCAGCTGTATGTATGCAAAAGCAATTGCACAGTTGAATATGCATCTAATACTGGTCTTAATGTTAAATGTTACTGTGTTGAAAATGATAAATGACTTCCTATTTGCAAGGGGATTTACTTTTTTCCCTTATGATTTCTACCAAGACGAAGTTGAAAGGAAAATGGAGTTCAATTATACATCACTTTTTATTTCTGGCTGGAAAACTAGCACTTCAGAAGGCTTTGCTATAGCTTGAATACATTGAGCGTGTTGGGTATTAGGAAAATTACCTAGACACGTCGTGCACGTCAGTCAGTGAGGTATTCACTACAGAAGGTGTGCCCCTGAAAAGCTTTAGGTGCTTTTTGGTAGGTCTATGAGCACAGAGAAACCTGAATTAGCTTCATCTGAAACCAGCTGAGCTTTAGGAGCAGGTATTCCACCTTCTCTGGGCTTACTGCTGCTATGCTAGGCTAGCTATTGGGCATCACTGTGCAAACATGGAGATGCTGCCCTCAGGTCTTGGGGTACCTGGGTGTCCCCCAGCAGCCAGTGGGTGCAATGAGCTCTGTCCTTCAGGAGCTCGGATGCTGAGTGCCATGTTTTGCCTTCTCGTTGGAATGGGAAAGGGGCATGAGATGACCTGAGTTTATAAGTGTGGTTCTTTAACTTCCAAGGGTGTGTTGGTACTAAAATAAACAGAATAAACTGTACTTCAAATTTCAGCTTAAAACCTGTGTGCGTACAGAAGGACCTCCTGTGTTCAGACCCTGGTTTAGTTACTTCCAATGGTTGTGTGCGCGGGTGCTGTCTGGTCTCTTGCTTCAGTTCTGTGGTTCTGCTTTCTTAAAACAAGCCTTTTGGATTTGAAATATTGCAACTGATTAGATCTATAAGGCACCATGTTTTTCATGTATTCTAAATGCTTTTTAAACAAACCCATTTCAATTTAATGCTCTTTGAATACATCCTTATTCTACACCTGCTTTAGCCCAGCTCCCATTTACTCTTTATTCTTACCCTGGGAGCTGTTGATGAGGGTTGAAAGCAGAAATCACCTCCTATTGCCCCCCTGCCCATAGCTGAGTCAGTGCTGGTGTCTTCCTGACCTCTGCTGCCTTTTTTTTCTGTGCTGCCTCCTGCTCATACCCCAAAACTGAGCAGTTCCAATGCAGCTTTGTGTAACTCTGGCTTTGCTGTCCCACCTCCATCATATTCCTAGCAGGAGCATCATGTTTTCTTTTGTGCTGTTGAATATTGTGATTGGCCCCAGATTAGAAGAGAAAGTTCATTTTGTCCTTAACCTACCCCATAGTCTCCTTGTGTCCTGCTGGTGTAGGATCTCTGCTGAGTTTAAGCGTGCTAATGTGTACAGCAGGAAAAGGATAAAGAGCTATTTATCAGTAGCCCCCTGTGGGAGCGTATTATGTTGGGCTTTCTGGTCATCATGCCAAATAATTGTGAAAAAGAGGTTTAATTACTTGAGTTTTCCACAATAGAAATGTTCAGCTCTTTTTTTGCTTACATTGCATGGTATAGGTTGCTTTCACATTCTTTTTGTGAAGGCACTTTGAAGCTCTCCCTAAGCTTGCACGTTGTTTAGCAATAGGCTGGCGGAGAGAATCCCCCAAAGGATTCTGAGTTACCGTGAGTTTCACAAGAGCTGAAATTCACATTTCATCATGTTACGGGGAGGAACTGTGTCATTCGTGGAGATGCAACCCACGTATTATTGTTGTCAGGTTCTGCAGGGGGTTCCTTCCCTGTTTCCTTTAATTAAATGCAAAGTACTAAGTAGGTCTGTGTTCCTTGGTAGTGTGTCCTTATGAAATATAGATGTGGCTGCTTCTCAAAATACCCATGGAGCACCTCCCACACTGCCTTTTGGAAAATACTTTAATCTGAACTTCATAGAATCACAGAGCCCCAGCCTGGTTTATGTTGGAAGGGACCTTAATGTTCTTCCAGCTCCAACCCCTGCCATGGGCAGGGACCCCTTCCACTAGAGCAGCTTGCTCCAAGCCCCTGTGTCCAACCTGGCCTTGAGCACTGCCAGGGATGGGGCAGCCACAGCTTCTTGCTCTTTGTTGGCTTAAGGAAACTATGCTGAGTTTTTCCCCTGCTCCTGACAAACTTTGCACATATTTGTCGTGGTTTAACCCACAGCCAGACAGCTTGTTACCCACTCCCCCCCCCTTCTTGCCCTCCCCTTACTCCTGGAGGGACAGAGAGGAGAGTCAAAAAGAAATGCAACTCCCACGGGTTGAGATAAGAACAGTTTAGTAACTAGTGTACAATACGAATCACCACTGCTACCACCAACGACAACAATGATAAGAGAAAACAGCAAAGGAAAGGAGTACAATACCACGCGCCGAACCACCAGTCCGACCCGGCCGACCCCCTCTCCTTCCGGGTCCTCCCCAGTTCCCCCCTCGGCATGACGTGCTGTGGTATGGAATACCTCTTTGGTCAGTTTGGGTCAGGTGTCCTGTCTCTGCTTCCTCCCGGCCTCCCCTCCTCCCTGGCAGAGCATGAGACTCACAAAGTCCTTGGCCAAACCAAAACATCACCTCTATCAGCTTTGTTCCGAGCCCGAAAGTCAAAACACAGCACTGCACCAGCTACCAAGAAGGAGAAAAAATGACTGCTGCTGCTAAACCCAGGACAATATTTTACCTAAATACAGAAAAGGGCTGCAGGAAACCTGGAGAGGGGCTTGGGACAAGGCCTGTAGGGACAGGCCAAGGGGAATGGCTTGAACCTGCCCGAGGGGAGACTGAGCTGAGCTCTTAGGCAGAAGCTCTTCCCTGTGAGGGTGCTGAGGCGCTGGCACAGGGTGCCCAGAGAAGCTGTGTGACTTAAGATGTAACCTGCCTGCTAATTCTCTTATTTCCCCTATTGGTAAATGGATATGTATAAATACGATTAATTTTGCTACTATACTATGAAATATAACAGAAAATTGATCTTAAATTAGAAATGTCTTAGTAAAGGGCCAGCCTGTTGTCAGCAGAGCCATCTTCAATCAGTTTGACTCCCCTTTGGAGAGGAGGGAAGCAGAACGTTGCCTACAATGGCATTTTCATTTTGATAACATGCAAATGCGAAAAGAGCTTTGTCTTTATTTTTAACACTGATGAGAGCCTGGCAGTAATTCTGTCTGCAAGGACTGAGTAACCTTCTACAGCACTGAACGCTGAGCAGCACAGCACATCATAGACTCACAGAATAGTTCGGGTTGGAAAGGACCTTAAGATCATCCAGTTCGAACCCCCCTGCCATAGGCAGGGACACCTCACACTAAACCATATCACCCAAGGCTCTGTCCAACCTGGCCTTGAACACTGCCGAGGATGGAGCATTCACAACCTCCCTGGGCAACCCATTCCAGTGCCTCACCACCCTCACAGGAAAGAATTTCCTCCTTATATCCAATCTAAACTTCCCCTGTTTCAGTTTTAACCCATTACCCCTTGTCCTGTCACTACAGTCCCTAATGAAGAGTCCCTCCCCAGCATCCCTATAGGACCCCTTCAGATACTGGAAGGCTGCTATGTGGTCTCCACGCAGCCTTCTCTTCTCCAGGCTGAACAGCCCCAACTTTCTCAGCCAATCTTCATATGGGAGGTGCTCCAGCCCCAATCATCCTTCATGGCCTCCTCTGGACTTGTTCCAACAGTTCCGTGTCCTTTTTATGTTGAGGACACCAGAACTGCACACAATGCTCCAGGTGAGGTCTCACGAGAGCAGAGTAGAGGGGCAGGATCACCTCCTTCGACCTGCTGGTCACGCTCCTCTTGATGCAGCCCAGGATACGGTTGCTTTCTGGGCTGCAAGCGCACACTGAAGCCGGCTCATGTTCATTTTCTCATCGACCATGTTCGTTTTATTCTTGACATTATAGGCTGCATTCCCCATACTCAGCATCTCTTCTGTCCTGAAACCTTGGTATGAGAACGGCCCCAGTGGTAGGGTGTGATGGTTTATGTGCTGAAGAACCAAAGGAAGATATCAGTTAAAAATGCAAAAGCTTCCCTAAAGAGGCCTTTTCTTGCATGTTGCTTTTTAATCCAAGCATATCTAAACTGTGTCTATCAATTCTATTTGATGTCACAACAGTCAAATGAGAGGCGCCAAAAGTAGAGGAATTTGTCTTAAAAATGGCTGTTGCTTTTATACGTGTATTCAGCTGGCAGGGCCACCTATCTTGTATGAAGAGGAGGTTCATTTAAAAGATAATGTATCATCTTCCCTTAGTATTCCCATGATTTGTCATGGTGACATCTTACTGCAGTGTGATTTACCTGCTGCAGAGACAATATCCGTAATCCGTGTAGGCTGTCACAGTTACTGAAATGACTGCAGCACAGTCATTCTTAACGTGGGGTGCCACTTGTCTTAAATTAGCTTTTCCTTGTATTTGCAAATCTTCAGTTGAATACCCCATCCCTGGTGCCCATCGCAAGGGGGTGGAACTGGATGAGATTCAAGGTCCCATTCAACACAAACCAGTCTCTGAGCTTCTGCCTAAGAGCTCATCTCAGTCTCCCCTCGGGCAGGTTCAAGCCATTCCCCTTGGCCTGTCCCTACAGGCCCTTGTCCCAAGCCCCTCTCCAGGTTTCCTGCAGCCCCTTTAGGCCCTGGAGCTGCTCTCAGGTCTCCCCTTCAGGAGCCTTCTCTTCTCCAGGCTGCCCCAGCCCAGCTCTCTCAGCCTGGCTCCAGAGCAGAGCTGCTCCAGCCCTCGCAGCATCTCCATGGCCTCCTCTGCACTCGCTCCAACAGCTCCACGTCCCTCTTGTGCTGCTGCCCCAGAGCTGGATCAGGGCTGCAGGGGGGTCTCCCCAGAGCACAGCAGAGGGGCAGGATCCCCTCCCTGAGCTGCTGCTCATGCTCTGGGGGTGCAGCCCAGCACACGATGGGGTCTGGGCTCATGTGCACCCTAAGGCTGGGCCATTGGGAGCTTCTCTTCACCCAACACCCCCAAATTCTCTCCTATTATTACACTCTAGCTTTGCTTTTATTTTAGCTCTTCGGTAACTTCTCTTTGCTCTAGAGAAAGTTCAGCTTTTTTCCCTTGTCATTTATCTAACACTCAGTGCTGGAACAGATATGTCCTTCATTTTGAGAGTGCTTCAGCAGATGATAATAATAATTACAGTTAAATGAGCTTCCTAACTACATTGTGAAGGAAGCAAGACATCATTTTGTATTATGAAATCTAAAGCAAGAAGAAAGTCTTTCTCTGGGTCGAGGAAGGCAGTCAGTTTGTGGTTCATATTAGCATCAGGAGCTACATTATTCACATGTTAAGCCTGGACCAAGATGATTTTGCTCTCTGTTTTACATGTGCGTCTGCACTCGCTCCTGTGGGCTGCTGATTTGTGTCTGTCTCTCTTTGATGCTTGGGGCAGAGGATGTGCAGGACATAGTGAAGTGCTTTTGTGTCAGTAATTCCCCAAACTGAAAGAGTTGATGGGAGTTTTGAAGACCAAATGAACGTGTGTGTTTATGAATACATCTATTCACTTAGTTTGACTCCAAGCCCTAACTTAGTACCAGATAATAGCAGTGGCACTTAAACTGGGCAGCTGAGGTTTCCAGGATGCAGGTGTACCTTGGAGATAGGCTGTCTCCAGTCAGCTTTCAGTATAGGGAAGAAACATTCTGGCTTACAGCAGAGTTTGAAAGGGGTGAATGAGATGTTTCTGCACAGAGATGTCTTTAAGTGACAACTTTAACCTGCCCGAGGGGAGACTGAGCTGAGCTCTTAGGCAGAAGCTCTTCCCTGTGAGGGTGCTGAGGCGCTGGCACAGGGTGCCCAGAGAAGCTGTGGCTGCCCCATCCCTGGCAGTGCTCAAGGCCAGGTTGGACACAGGGGCTTGGAGCAAGCTGCTCCAGTGGAAGGGGTCCCTGCCTGTGGCAGGGGTTGGAACTGGGTGAGCTTTAAGGTCCCTTCCAACCCAAGCCATTCCATGATTTTATGTCAGGGTGCATTGACTTGTCCAGGAGGAGGATCAGAACAGTGTTGTTTTAACCAGAAGAGTGGAGGTTGAAGCTAAGAGGAATGTATGGGAAGGAGAATGCTCAAACGGTCCTATGGGGCACCTTGAGGTGCTCACCACCTATTTTTGCAGCCCCTCAGAAGCGCCTGTGCATGGGTAAGGAGGTAGTGTGTGCTGTCATAGGGATTAAAAGCTCTGGCCATGCAGCAGGGAAGTGGCTGCTGGTTGCTGTTGACGGGAACATCAGGTGCATTACCACATAAATTACTCTGGGGAGCAGCAGCAAAGCTGACAAAACACCATTAAATGCATTTGGGGACAGTGTATAAACCTTAAACCAACCAATACCGCTCCATAGCCCTGTGTCTTCATAGATGGTGTGAAAATGTCGATGCACATCCCTCCACTTTGCTGTGGATTCCCATCTCTGAAGCCTTACTCAGAGGTTGCTCCTTTGTGTGGGGCTCTGTGGAAACCACTGCTCGAAAAGGGACTGATGTAGGGACAGAGGAGCTCTTGTTTGTTCTGTGTCTCCTTCCTTGTCCTTCCAAACGTGTCCTGGTATCACACAAATGGGAGGCAAGGCTTTGAGTCCCAACCAGTGATAATTACAATAAAAGTAAGTGATTCTAATACCAGAATGGTTCCAGTCCTATATTCACTGCTGTGTGTGTGCAGAATTCCCCAAACCTCTATTTTGCACAGCTTTTCTTTATTTATTTTACTGTGTAAGTACTTCATGTATCCTTAAATACTGTTGTTTTCAGGTTTTTATTACTCGTATTTATCATTTTATTGTTAGTATTAATGGAAGAGTCAACCAACATAACTGAAACAGATTTATTAAGGGGAGTCCTCTAGATTTTCAGTGAAATAAGGTGGGGAAAGGCAATTGCATTTAGGAAACCAAAAGGAAATGGACTGACCTTCGGAAATCTTAAGCACAGAGACTTCAATTGGAGGGCATACTGTTTAATACCGAGATGGTAGAGAGCTTTGTAGAGTGAAGCACTTCTGGTTGAAATGGGCTCCTTTGAAAAAGAGCCTTAGAAAAATGATAAATGGTGGTGTTAAAATGTCACATTAATGTTTTGCTTGCTTTCTATGAAAGCTAATACAAAGCAGTTTCAAACTAGGAACACCGCGTATCTCCTCATTGTGCAAAGCATCAGGTTCATACTTAATAAGCCTTTTACAGAATGAATTTCAGTAGAGCTATCGTCATCTTGGGTCCTGGTTTTGATCTCTCTGAAGATCCTTTTGGCTCTTCTTGCCAGAGAGGTTTCCCTCTACTCAGAGTTATGGGGCTGTTTTATTACTTTTTGCAGGTCAAAGGAGGTGATCCTGCCCCTCTACTCTGCTCTTGTGAGACCTCACCTGGAGCATTGTGTGCAGTTCTGGTGTCCTCAACATAAAAAGGACATGGAACTGTTGGAACAAGTCCAGAGGAGGCCACAAGAATGATCAGGGACTGGAGCACCTCCTGTATGAAGATAGGATGAGAAAGTTGGGGCTGTTCAGCCTGGAGAAGAGAAGGCTGCGTGGAGACCTCAGAGCAGCCTTCCAGTATCTGAAGGGGGCCTATAGGGATGCTGGGGATGGACTCTTCATTAGGGACTGTAGTGATAGGACAAGGGGTAATGGGTTAAAACTGAAACAGGAGAAGTTTAGATTGGATATAAGGAGGAAATTCTTTCCTGTTAGGGTGGTGAGGCACTGGAATGGGTTGCCCATGGAAGTTGGGAATGCTCCATCCCTGGCAGTGTTCAGGGCGAGGTTAGATAAAGTCTTGAATGACATAGTTTAGTGTGAGGTGTCACTGCCCATGGCAGGGGGGTTGGAACTGGATGATCTTAAGGTCCTTTCCAACCCTAATTATTCTATGATACTATGATTATAGGATTTGCATATGACCCCAGGCTGGTTTGTGTTGGAAGGGACCTTAAAGCTCACTCAGTCCCATCCCCTGCCATGGGCAGGGACACCTCCCACTAGAGCAGCTTGCTCCAAGCCCCTGTGTCCAACCTGGCCTTGAACACTGCCAGGGATGGGGCAGCCACAGCTTCTCTGGGCACCCTGTGCCAGCGCCTCAGCACCCTCACAGGGAAGAGCTTCTGCCTAAGAGCTCAGCTCAGTCTCCCCTCAGGCAGGTTCAAGCCATTCCCCTTGGCCTGTCCCTACAGGCCCTTGTCCCAAGCCCCTCTCCAGGTTTCCTGCAGCCCCTTTAGGCACTGGAGCTGCTCTCAGGTCTCCCCTCCAGGAGCCTTCTCTTCTCCAGGCTGCCCCAGCCCAGCTCTCTCAGCCTGGCTCCAGAGCAGAGCTGCTCCAAGCCCTGTGATTGTAAAGCCCTGAGCAGCCTGATCCAACCTGGAGCAGTTCTGCTTTCAGCTGGCTGGAGGAGAACCCTCCTGATGTTCCTTGCGTAGCCATGACCATTATCCCAGTGCTAAATGCTCTTCTTCCATGCCCTACCTATGAAAATGGAAGATTTCCTTGCAGTTTGTGCTCTTTTCATGAAAATCAGCCTTTTTTCCATTTCCTTCTGGTTTTGGAAGCAGTGTGGCTCAGCTGGTCAGGGTGTAGCAATCAGCATTGATGTCC